TTCCCCCCTTTCGCTTTAGTGTCTTACCTTGCATGGTGCCTTCTCTCTGTAGGGCCTCATGGAGTTGTGACCTTCATTGTCTTTTTCTAGGATATTGCTTAAAATTGTTTGGAGTGCTGGTTTGGTGTTCATGAAATTTCTCAGGTTTTCTTTGTAGTGAAAGTATCTAATTTTCCCATTGATTTTGAAAGATAATTTTGCCAGATACAATAGTCTAGGTTGGATGTTATTTTCTTTTAGGGCTTGAAATACTTCACTCCAGGCTCTCCTTGATTTGAGGGTTCGTGTTGAGAAATCTGCCATGATTCTGATGGGCTTTCTTTGTAGGTGATTTGTTTCTTTTCTCTAACTGCCTGTAGGATTTTGTTCTTCTCTTGGGGTTTCTGGGATCTTGACTATTATATGTCTAGGTGTAGATTTTTTTGGTCATGGCTAGTTGCAGTTCTATATGCCTCACTTATCTGTATGTCCAATTCTCTACCTCTGTCTGGGAAGTTTTCTGTTATTACTTCTGTGAACAGCTTTTTTATGTCAGTTGTACTTTCTCCTGTTTTTTTGTGGACTCCTATGAGCCTTATGTTATTCTTCTTTGCATCATCATCTAGCAGCTGGATTGATTTCTCATGGTACCCTTACTATCTTTAAGAAATCTCTGTTTTCATGGTCCTTAACCACAATCCTGTCTTCTATATCTGATATTCTGTCTTCAGATTCTCTTAGTCTGCTCTGCATGCTTTCAGTGCAGTTTTTAATCTCCTGAATATCTGTTTGAATCTGTTTTGTGGATTCCATTACTTTGTTATGTTGGGTGATCATGGTTCCATTTCTTTCTTATGCTGGGTATTCATGGCTTCCAGCATGTTTCTGATCTCATCTATTTTCTTGTCTGTTTCTGCTCTAGAGCCTCTAATCATGTCTTTTACTCTGCTCACCATGTCTTATTAATCTATCACATTTGACTATGTGAAGTATAATCCCCTGTGCCTCTGTAGTGAGTGACCAGGTAGCAGAAGAGCCCTAAGGTGGGGCGGGGTTGGAGGGGGATGGAATTGGGCCTTGTAGGCGCCTGCACAGCTAAGCTAAGCAGAGCACCAGGTGAAGGCATGGCTCCAAGCTGCTCTCGGGACCTCACCGTGGTGTCTCAATGCAGTTTTTAATCTCCTGAATATATGTTTGGATCTGTTTCATGGATTCCATTTCTTTCTTATGTTGGGCGATCATGTTTTCCATTTCTTTCTTATGCTGGGCATTCATTTCTTATGCTGGGCTTCCAGCATGTTTCTGATCTCATCTATTTTCTTATCTGTTTCTGCTCTAGAGCCTCTGCTCACTATGTCTGTATTTATCTGGGAGATTATTTCTGTTTTGAATTTTTCTAGAGCCTCATGCATCTGCTCTGTTACTTCCTGTGCTATCAGTTCAGGGTGTCCAGGTGGTTGATTATCAGAGTTTTCACCTCCTTTTCCCCAGAATTTCCTTTTTGTGGCGTGGAAGGCTGCGTTTGTGGCTTGCTTAAATGTCTTCTCATTTTTGTTTTTGGTACTGTCCTTGGTTTAATTCCTGGGTTGGTATTTCACAGTTGCTTAATGCAGGTATCTTTGTTGCTTGTGTTTAAAACCCTTGTGGAATGATTGCTTTTCAGAGGTGTCTTCCAGATATGGCTTGTGTTTGGGCTTTGAGGCTCTAATGACTCTGAGGCTATTTTATTTTCCTTATACCAGAAAGGAAAACTGATTAGATCAATCACAACATGTTAGACCGAATGGTAACAATCAGCAATACCATAGCATCAAGCACAGCTTAGAAAATGACAATTTGTGGTAGTTATTAATCTATCACATTTAACTATGTGAGTTAAATTAAAACCGAGGACCAACCCAACATAAGTTTATAATAAATAAACTCTTCAATATAGCATCTTTCCCCTTTGGGGTGGGGAGTTAAAAGGAGTTGGGGAGGGAGGTAGAAAGACCAGGAAAAATTAGCAGTGAGGCCAGAAGACACAGGAAGATGACACAAACTCTTAAGTTGTTAAAGGCAAGAGGAAAAGGCAGAATGAAAGAACAAAGATGTGAATAGAATCACCTGACAGCAACAGGGAGACTAGATACCGTGTTTACTTTCCTTTAAACCTAATGATAATCAAGAGAAGGAAAAAGAGAAGAAAAGAAAAATAAGGGAGAAATCTGAATTCAGTGCAGAAAGGAACAAATGGGGAGATGAGGAGCAATGTGGGACAGTGAGAGAATGAGAGAGAGAAAGAAAAGAAAGAAAAGAAAGAAAAGTAAAAATTTGAAGAGTATAGAAAAGTAAAAATTAAGAATTGAAAATAAGAGAACAAAAAAAATTTTTTTTTCTTTTTTGCAAATAGCAAAAAATAAAAATTATGGGCCTCCTTCAGGGTATGTCTCTGCTGTCACAGTAGGCAGCGTAGGAATCCATGTGCATATAGGAGTCAATGAGTCTCAGCAAGCCAGCAGCAGACCAAGTACAGTGGTCTGATGTGCTTTTATTGTAGAGATTCTCTCTTTACTTTTCCGCTGAGCTTCAGTTTTCATCGAGGAGCCTGAGAAGCCCTCTTTCTGTTACTAACTGCTGCTCTATCTTGTGGCGCTCAGGACAAGGGTCTTTATAATCCCCCGTGCCTCTGTATTGTGGGACCAGGTAGCAGAAAATCCAGAAGGCCAGAGGCGCGGGGTGGGGGGGTGGGGAGGGGCCGGCCACGGACGGGGCCTTGGAGGTGCCTGCAGCTAAGCGGATCTCACCGTGGCGTGGGCGGGGCCGCGGAGCTTCAGGCTGCTTGTCTGACCAGGCTGGTCTCTGCTGGGAGCCCTGTTTGCTTGTCTTATGCTACTGGCTGGACTTCCAGTACCATATATTATGAAAGTACAGTACCCTTTATAAGATATGTAAATAACGAAATTATGAGTTCTATTTTATAAAAATTATTAAGCATAAAAATCATTTAAATTATAGAATGAAGCCAGGTGTGGTGGCACACGCCTGTAATCTCAGCACTTAGGAGGACCACCATGAGTTTGAGGTCAGCCTAGGCTACATAGTGAGTTCAGGGTCAGCCTGAACTACAAAAGGAGACCGTGCCTCACCCCCCCCCCCGTAATGAATTGAATTTTAATATCAAACCAGACAGGTAATGTTTGTATCGATTTATATGGAATATTATAAAATTAATTCTTGGATGTTTTGATTTTATAATTTGTATTTGGCAGCCAAAATTGTATCTTTGTCTTTCCAAGCTAAATAGTGATGGAATTTAAAATCTTATAAATGATTTATTTTACAAATATCTCCACATTATTTATCCTTCCTAGTATGATTTTATTAATATATACTTTCTAGAAAATCCATGAGTCTAAAAGCAATTCTCATCTCTTATTTCACAAAATATTTATTGCCACCTAGGCAATAAGGTCTGAGGGCATAACTCAACAGTGGAGTGTTTGCCTAATCTGAGGCCCTAGGTTTAATCTCCAATACTGTAAGAAAAAATACTGAAAGACTAATGCCAACTAAACTCATCGTGCTTAATTTTACTCCTTAAGAGAAACCATGAAATATGAAATTCAAACAGTGTTATATTCGAGATTGTTGAATATTAAGTAATTTAAAGTGTGATCCCAGTATTATAGCAGAATTGAAAAATGTATAAGGAAAGTTCAGATAAATGGAAAAGAATTAACATTGACCAGATATGTGTACAAACTTTCTCTGCTTCTTGGAAACATACATATTTACTACAGTATGTGTAAGCTTGATTTCCTTGGCTTATTCCTACAAGACTAAGAGTTCCTTTGAGGCGTGGATTTATTTTTTTCTGTTTGTCATTATCCAGCACTTACTCAGTGTCTAGTCTGTGACAGCCATTCAATAAATATTTATGGAGGAAGAAAAATGTAGTTTAATTTTAAAATGAAAAGCTGACAGTTTATCACTTTTAAAGAATGTACAAAGGGAATTGATTGTGAAATTTCTATTAATAAAAATATATTTAATCTTCCATGACTGAAGTATGATACTAGCATCTTATGATTGAGTCAGCTTTTCTTACTCACTTTCATATTATTTTATCATTTCAAAATAGGAAGTGAAGGTTCATTTTTTGCAAAAAAGAAATCAAATTCAGTTAATGTAGGAGAATTTTACCGAGATCCTGTGTTGCAGCGCTGCTCTCCAAATTTGCAAAGACATTCCAGTTCATTGGTAAGTTAGACTGTGATTACATTGTATGTTTGGCTGCTGACGTCTCTTTTTAGAACTAAAATTTGTAGCAAAGCTAGGACTAATCGGTATGGAATTCTCAGAAGTGTGAAAAAAATATATGTGAGAAAACATATTAGACATAGCTTACGTTTGTAGATTTTTGAGCATGTAGAGTATGGATTTATGTACTGCTTCAGAATGGTTTAATCCTTCTTTTCCTAGTGCCATGTCTACAGAGATCAGGGTAGGTCTGTGTGGCTTGGTCCCATGAACACTAGCTGGAAATCTGATAGAGATTTCTAAGAAACCAGATAGAAGCCTGAAGAACACTGAACCTGGAGTAGCATACTCTCATTTTTCATCAAAGCATGGTTTTTTTTAAAGCATGACTTTTTTTGTATTGAGAATCATTTAATGTTTTAGCAATCATTATTGCCTATGTAACAACTATGGAAGAACTATGAAACATTTATATGTTTGATAATTGTGGCTGGCAAAAGTAGAAGCCATTGTACTTTATCATAATTTAGTATTAAAAATATGAGGGTTATCTTTCTGTTAATTTTAGATCTTAAAATGGGCAAAATGAATGACGATAGCTGAACAGATTAAATTAGGCCACAGTATTTTTTATATGCTGGTTCTTGTCTATATTATTATCTTAGTTAAAAAAATTGTTTCATTTATGAAAGAAATTGTATCCATATGGCTTAATGACTCAACCTCACTGCTTTTCTGTTTCCTGATATTAAAAACAATGGAGAAATAATAAATATCTAGTAAGGTCATTTTGGCATAAAAATCTTTTATTTTCTTGATTAGGTTTTTAGTTTCCACTTTATTTTTTCCATAATTATAAATGCCATTTTTCCATTAAAGTTTCACGGCTGTTTCTATGTAAAAATGTTCTAAAAACCTCAACAATAACAATTTTATTATACACATCATTATTTACTTAATAGGGGCCTAGTTTTGATCATGAAGATTTCCTGAGGAGAAAAAGAAAACTGTTGTCTTCAGATGATTCGCTCAGTAAGTATGTGGAAGTAATCCTAAATAAATAGATGCCTTGAGCAGAATACATGGCCTTGTTAAATTGCCTCTGGTTATTGAAAGTTTCTTGGTGCCACTTTCAGCATACAGAACTATCATATGTATTTGCCTAATGGTTCTACAGGTTATAGAAAAATGAAATATAGCTATAAACTTTAAAATTTACCTTTTATGGATATTATTGAATACTTACTTTTTTAGGAGTTTTCTGAAATCTAAATAATACCCCTACCAGTGCCACTCTTCATCTCATTCTCTAATTCTTTTATTTTTTATACCATCTAATGAAATATTTTTTATTGCCTGTCTGTCTCTGCCTCTGGAATGCAAGCTCCAGAGTCTGGTTTTCTACTGAACCTCTAGTGGCTTTGAGAGAGCCGACCCTTGTAGGTGTTCAGTATACTTTTAACAAGTGTATTTAAATTGTTTGCTTATATTTCCATTGTTTGTTTGCTTTTGATGAAAGGGTCATCAAAACTTCAACCCTATATGAGGCATTCGGACAGCGTTTCTTCCATAGCTTCTGAGAGAGACTATATTACATCACTAGACCTTTCCGCCAATGAACTCAGAGATATTGATGCCCTGAGCCAGAAATGCTGCATAAGTGGCCATCTGGAGCACATCGAGAAGCTGGAGCTCCACCAGAATGCACTCACAGGCTTCCCACAACAACTCTGTGAAGTAAATTCCATTCATCCTCAGAATGCATATACTACACATTTTATAGAATAGAATGCATTATGCTAAATCTTAGGACGTATTGTACTGCACACCACATTATACTACACAAGGGCATGGCACTGATATTTAACTGGCTTGGTCAAGTCTTTCAGAAGCAGGCTCTACTTTTGTGTCATTCAACAATAATTCTCCTCATTCTAGTTTTCACCAAACAGGTGTCAGTCTGTGTGGTATTCAGAGCCATCTTTGAGGGTAGGCAATGGAAAGGGAGAGCTGATTGAGAAGGAATTCTGGGCTCTGTCCTGATGATGCATAGTCTATGTTGAAGTCTCTCAAGGTGGTATATTGATTATGCTCTCAATTACTTAATTCTAGTAAGGTAACTCACTCTGTTTAAGTTACTTGGCAGGCTAGAATTAGACCTGTTTGGTAGTACTGTTTCAACTTCACTATCTATCCTGTGATGACAAGTATTTGTTACTTTGACTGTTTTCCAGCATCATTGATTGCCTCATCTGTAAAATATATGGACTTAGCTATATGATCATAATTGGATTTTGGGTATTTTTTTAGTTTTAAAATTGTATATAACTTAAAAATTGAGTTTTTGGCACAAGTTCCCATTTTTTTAAGAATTAAAGTCTAATGTAGTTTGTTAACTGGGTACTCCTCTGAATATTGACTTTGGTCATTATTTTTATATAATGATTTTTAAAGCCAAAGTCAATACTGTGACAAGATTTTAATATGAAGGGTTAAATAATTAAACTGAGTTCGTGGACTGAAACACAGTTTGATAAAGGATTACCCCTACTTAAAAAAAAACTACTCATTGCAAATGCATTTCATTTATCATAATTTTGAAATGTTTTTTAAAATAAAACTGCATGACTTTTAAGTATATTTAAATACTGTCTTTTTCCTGAAGTTTATATATCTGGAGAGAGAGAAAGAAGGAAAAAACGTAACCCTCACACCTCCACCCTTATATCTAAACTGTGTTCTCCCTTTCCTCTACCTCTCTGCCCAGCTAATCCTTCAAGTCGCCCAAGTCTCAGTTTAATGACATATGTTAGGGATCCAGTGGCTGGATCTTCTCAGATCCTTCTCTCTTTCTCTTTCTTTCTCTCTATTTTGGAGACAGGGTTCAGACTGGCCTTGAACTCATTATGTAACCCAGGCTAGCCTGAACATACTGGGATCCTCCTTTGTCAGCCTTCTGAGTGCTGGGCTCACAGGCATGCACCACCACACCTGGCCTTTCTCTTTAAAAAAAAACTTCAGAATCATTGAATGATACTTTCTCACTACTGCCTGATGTATTTCAGGTGCATTTTTTTTTTTTTGCAAGAAGATTTCCTGATTCAATGTAGGGAATAAGCAATTAAAATAAAAAGAAATTTTTCCTTCCCAATAAAGTGGTAGGATCAAAAACAAAGGCAAGAAGTTTGGAAGGACTGAGGCAGAGTCATTAATAACCCTATAATCACATCAAACTCTTCAGGCTAAATATATTGATACATATTTATATATGTGAGGATAAATATATTGATATATAAAGAAGTGATATGTGAGAAGCATAAAGATATAATTATTTCTAGTATTTCAGCCTTTTAACAGTAAATATAGCAAGGATTTAAAAGATTGACATAATATGTAAATAGATTTGCTATTATTATTATAAAATTAGAAATTTCTGAAAAACAAGCTAGAGAGTAAAACAAAAAGTTCTTGAAAAAAGGAGACATTCTAAAACGAAATAAGCAGTAATGTATAGGTGACTACTTGCCTGGTTAAATCTTATTTATATAAAAATATATAACAATTTCTAGAAGATGGTATTTTTAAAACTGTATTCTCAGGGGCCAGGGGTTTAGCTCAGTGGTTCTACCACCTGCCTCGGAAGCGCAAGGTCCCGAGCTTGATCTCCAGTACCAAAAAAAACAAAACCAACCAACAAACAAAAAACCCTGTATTCTCAAGGATATATATATATATATATGTGTGTGTGTGTGTGTGTGTGTGTGTGTGTGTGTATTTTTTTTTTGGTACTGGTGATCGAACTCGGGTCCTTGCGCTTACGCACCAGGCGGTGAAACCACTGAGTTAAATCCCTGACCCTCAAGATTATATTTTTTATTCATGAAACCATTATTATGCTGTTTTTCATCAAATCATTAATTCAGATATTTGTTGAAGCACATTTTGCTTTCATCGTGCTCATTACAGAAGTAATTGATGAAAGAGCTGAGTTATGCTCCTCACCCTGTTTTCACACAAATGCTTTTCACAATTTGCCTGTTGTATTTTTCCTGGTTTTCTTTATGCTACAGCAGAGGTGGTTGGGCTAGCGAGTATACTGAAATTCTGCTGTGCACTGGTGTTTCAGGTTAATAAGACAATCTTGATGATTCTAGTTACCAGAGATGTGGAAAGCAGATATATTGGCTAAAGTTTCTTAGACGTTTCATTTTAGACTTTTGAAATATTTTCCTTTCAGACTCTGAAGTGTTTGACACATTTGGATTTGCACAGTAACAAATTTACATCATTTCCTTCTTACTTGTTGAAAATGAATTGTATCTCCAATCTTGACGCCTCTCGGAACAACATCGGACCCTCCATAGTTTTAGATGCCTCGGTGAGGTGTCCCACCCTCAAACAGTTGAACCTGTCGTACAATCAGCTCTCTTCTGTCCCTGAGAACCTCCCAGATGTGGTAGAGAAGTTGGAGCAGCTCATTTTAGAAGGGTGAGAGGGGGTTCATGAAACAGCATGGTTGCCTGACACTGAGTTTTCTAGAGTTGACAAATACACAGACCTTTCTATGGTAATGACCTTTAAACAAAAATATAACAGAGACAGGGGCAATTGATATTACAATTTTATCAAATAACTGATTTTCACAACTAATTTTACAATTAATAAGCTTGCTTTGATGTGATTCTTTGAGGGTGAATTATTTTTATTTTTCTTTAAAGCATATGAGTTTAATGTCATTTAATTCTTATTTTTGTTTTGTTATGACTAGTAATAAAATATCAGGGATATATTCTCCCTTGAGTCTGAAGGAGCTGAAGATTTTAAACCTTAGTAAAAACCACATTTCATCCCTACCAGAGAACTTTCTTGAGGCTTGCCCAAGAGTGGAGAGCTTCAGTGCCAGAATGAATTCTCTTGGTGAGTGTCTTGTACTGGTCTTCTCTTTGCCAGGCCTTCTGTGTCTCCTAGCTGGAGTCACATACGGACAGATGGGGATCTAAAGAAGATGTTTTAGTTTAAATACTATGTTGGTGTTTCAAAACTAAGGTCAGCAGGTTGACAACAGAAAGGAGTGAGCTGTGGAGCCATTGAAAGACTGGAAGAAACTTAAATACTTGTACATATTTAAGGGAGAGAAACTGGTGTGAAAAGGCCACACACTGTATTGTTTGCTCTGGGCAAAGACAACGCGATGAGGATAGTAGAAAGATCTGTGGTGGCCAAGGGTAAAGGAGCAGGGTAAGATGGAGAAGTGGCGCACAGAGTGGTCTCACAGCAATGAAACTGCCCTGTGTGGTCTTGCATGGTGGACACATGCTGTTGTACAAGTGTCAAAAATCCATAAAATGTACAACACAAGGAACGAAGCTTAAACTAAACTGTTATCTCTGGTGATAATGATGTCAGCATTGGCTCCTCAATTGTAACAAATTTTTAATACTAAGGGAAAATGCGTGAGAGAAGGTAGGGTGGGCGTGGATGAAGGTATATAGGGGATCTCTGTGCTTTTCACCCAATTTTTCTGTAAACCTAGAGCTGCTCTAAAATGTCTCTAAAACATACCCATAATTAAAAATAATTAGCACTTTGCTATTGTCATAGCTAAGATGGCAGTTATTTGGCCTATAAGTAGTAATTACTCTGTGGTTCCTTTGAACGTTTTAAATTAAAAATGTACATGGCTGCCTGAGCTGGGTGAAGCATCTTCATACTGAGTTTCATACTAAAGTTTCTTTAGCAAATTTTTTGGATTATAAGTGCAGCTACTGTTACTGTTTTTGAAAATAAAATTCATTGCTTAACCGTTTTCATATTAGTACAGTGAATATGTGTTCCTTCAGCTTTGCAAACTATTACAATATCCCTTTTCGCCAGATATACAAGATGATCATCATTTTTATTAAAAGTTGGGCTGCCCAAAATTCTCTTGGTCTGTCAGATAGTACAGGGAATTATGTTCATTGCTAGTCAGTCACAACAATCTGATAGTGTGGGGCAAATGCATTTATGGCAATAAACAGGAAATCCCCCATATTTTATCTTAATAAAGATGGCATGCCCCTTGCATCCCTTGTGGTTATTCTGCACCTGGCTCAGTAAAAAATAATTCTTAGAATTGTTTAATAGCAAAATACATCTTGACTATCTATTTAAAATATTTTAATTGTTAGAACTTTCAGAAAGTAAAAAGATAAAAGCCACATTAATTTTTGTAGTATTTTCTTTCTTTTTTCTCCCTCTTTTTCTGGGACTCTCTTGAATATTGACCATGTTCTTACCTTGAGTCTGAAACCAGGAATAGAGTTTTTCACTGGTAGTAAGCAAAGCAAGTCTAATATCTGTCTTTAAGGACCTACTTAAATGCAGAAGACAAGCATTAAATAATGATAGCACAGGGCCAGGGATTCAGCTCAGTGGTTCTGTGCCTGTCTGGCAAGCACAGGGTCCTGAGTTCGATCCCTGGTACAAAAAAAAAAAAGATGGCACAAATTAATGTACTTGAATATTGTGCTAAATACTGTGAAAAAGTTTCAGGTTCCTGTGAGAGCACCTCATGGGGATCTAATTCAGACTTTAGAGTCAGGGAGTATTTCTGCATCTGTAATATTTAAGGCGAATTTGGAAAGAAGGTCGTCTGAGGACTCTGAGACTTGGTTAAGGTCAAATATATCATCTCAGCTGAATCACAACAATCACATAGGACAGAACAGGTAATTGCCTCAGTAATTGAGGAAGTTGAAGCACTGAGATTTTTGTGTGATATGTTCAAGGGCCTGTAATTAATTAACTAGTTATAAAATCTTGGAAAGACCTCAGTTCAAAACTCTCCTTTGCAGTTGTGTTAGTCAGCTTTCCTTTACTATAACAAAATACCTGAGGTTATCAACTAATAAGGAAGAAACATTTATTTTGTCTCATAATTTCTGGGATTCTAGTCCATGACTAGTTGTGCTGTTGCTTTTGGCTATGGCAGTGAAGCATGTGGAAGTGGGAACCTGTGGTGGTGGTGGCCAATCACCTTATGATGGCTGGGAGGTGAAAGAGAAAGACAGGAAGGGGCCGAGATCACAAGATCCCCTCAACATCATGCCCTCATGGATCTAACTTCTTTCCACCGGGCCTCATCTACTAAAGGATCCATAATCTCCCCATAGTTCTATAAGCTGGGGACTAAGCCTTCAACAGTTGGTCTTTGGAGGACATCAACATCCAAACTATAACAGTACTGTAAAACTGAATAGTTTGAGAAGTGAATTTATGTTTCCAAAGATGCCCAGTGGAGGACATCTGAGTAGGATTGCTATCCATTAAAAATAATCCCATGTGAAGTTGGGCATGGTGGCATCCACTTGTAATTCTGGCATCCTGGGAGACAGAGGCAAGAGGATTGCAAGTTTGAGCCCAGGCTGGGCAACTTAAAACTTAGTGAGAGATACACTGCCTCAAAATAAAAAATATAAGAAGGGTTGAGGTTGTAGCTTAGTGCAAAGACTTTAGGTTCAATCCCCAGTACACCCCCAGCCCCCAATCCTATGTGAAATGAATTTCCAATTTTTTTGGTATTATGACTGTTTTCTGTGTAGCATCTGAACCACAAGAGTCTTAATTCTTAGGCAGCGAATCATTTCTATTCATTTATTTTGTCACAGATTTATCTTGGAAGTAAGGCATAGCATGTGTCTTTCAGCTTGTCAGTAGGACAGCTTCTTGCAGTGTCCTAGAAGATTTTGACTTATGGAGATTTCCTAAAAAAAATATTACCCATAGTCTAACCTTGGAAATACTATGAAACAATTTCTTGAGTCATTTTCACAGAACTACGGGCTTATAGGTCTAATGCAGATCTAGATGAGAGAATCAGAGTTCATCTGGTCTAACTTCAGGGTTTTCCAGATGAGAAAAGGAGCTGTCTGGCTTGGTCAGTTCTCCAGATTGTGTTCCACAGAATTTTATTACTGAAAGTACTGCATAATGTATTTCTCTCTTGAGAATTCACAGGTGATACCAGGATATTGAGAACTCTGAGATATTTCACTTTATTTTACTTAATGTTTCCCAATCTCATAAGAGCATGTGATCAAAGAATACCTTTATTAGATTATATCCATTACAACTCCATAGAACACTCTTTATGAGATGGTACTATAAATAATTTCCATCTTTTTACTGTTTTATGTATTGGTAAAGTGATCAGAGGTGTTTTGTTATAATTACTTATGAGTAATTTGAATTAATCTACACTATATGTCTTCTAATAACCTCACATAGTTTCAAATTGAGTTGTTTAAATTAAACATTGTGATGAGTATGGTGTATGGTTTTATTATTTAGTGAGAGTTTTAAGGATATTACATTATTTTATAGATTTTTTTATAGTCAGTATGAACATGAAATCAAGTGACATGTCATTGGTAGCTGTTCTTATTGAATTTAATAGGAATCTAGTTAAAAGTGATTAAAATGTTTAACTCACTTTTATTTTCTTTTAGCTGCTATGCCTTTCTTGCCTTCTTCTATAACAAGCCTAAAATTGTCTCAAAACAAATTCACGCGTATTCCAGATGCAATTTTAAATCTACCACAGTAAGTTTGTTATTTTAATTTTAAAACCACGTGATCCATAGCAGAACAGTTAGAAATATGGTTTTGATTTAGGCATATAAATGGAATTTATTTCTAAATCGACTTAGCTTAATTTTTTAGATGTATAAATGTTTGGTTTTCACAAGACTAAAGGTGAAAGTTTAAACTTTTATATTAATTTGTTGAACTATAAAAATGTAGAAAAAACTTAAGGCTGTGTAATTAGTAATTAATTGCTGCCTTATGTAATGAAATGAGACTACACTGGTTGTCACTTTTAAAATTTCAATTGTTCTCATAGTTTATGTTGTAGAAATACTGTTAGCTTTGAAATCATATTCAAGTTGTGTTTGAGTGACATTTTGGGGGAAGATCAGAACAATTTACATGGTTTCAGGTTTGGGAGAATTTTTGTTTAATTTCATTAAAAATGAGCACCTCTTTTTAACCGAAAATTCAGACATTAATTAGATCTCAAGTGTGTTGTCATTTTAAATACTATTCTACTTGTGTCATACATTATAAATCAAATTTATAAATATACATGTGTGTCCTAGTTACTTTTTCTTGTTGCTGGGCCAAAATACCTAACACCCAAAGTTAAAGGAGGAAAGGTTTATTTAGCTTGTAGAGGTTTCAGTCCATAATTGGCTGGCTCCAAGGCAGGGTGGCATGGGAGAGGGGCATCACAGAGGAGAAACAGTTCAAGGCAGGCAGAAGACACCAAAAGCAAGTGACAAGTGATGATCCTCTGTCCCTTATATCTTATCCAGGCTATTCATCCTTAGGGCAGGTAGCACTCACACCCTTAATCCTAGCATTGAATCCTTGATCCCCACACCACCCACCCTTGATCCCAGCATCACCCACTCCAGATCCAGCCACTGTTGAAAAGCCGCACGGATGAGTGCATGAGTCTTTGAGGGGACATCTAGACACAAGCCATAGCAATGTGGAAATATATATATACATATACAGGCAAATGCTCATTATATTCTAATCACAGAAGGCCAGAAAAACATAAAATAGTTAACTTACACCTACCTTTGGAATGTGTCAGATTGTGGGAAACCAGGTGTGTGAAGCTGAGGCCTGATTGAACTCTCCTTAAAATAATGGGAGAGGGGATAGCGTGCTGTCCCCTCATCGGGCTGTTCACTAGCATGCTGGCATCAACCAGTTTCAAGGAGAGAAACAACTACAGCTGAAGTCTAAAGAATATACACATTTAAATGCAGTCTGCAAATTATGAGAACACTGGTAATCTTTTCCTGAGCCCCGGATCACATGCTTCCTTGCTTTTTCTTTGTGCAAGTCTAACAAAAGTGAGGAGCACTGTCAGTTTGGGATTTTTTTTGTCCAGTAGAGGCAAACGTCCCCTGGCCCTCCTCTTCCAAATTATCTTTGTGTCTTTGCTCTGTAAGCCTGGCTGGTTTCTACATCAGATGTTCTTCTAACTGTTCTACAGGGGATCATCACTTTAATCTTCCTGATACTTCTTTAAAATAGTTACTGTTGGGCTGGGGATTTAGCTTAGTGGTTTCGCCTGCTGCGCAAGTGCAAGGACCCGAGTTTGATCCCCGGTACCAAAAAAAAAAAATAGTTACTGTTACTGTCTTCTCTTTTTAATCTTATCAGAGAGACAAGACATCTTCCCCCCAATCAGTTTTTCAACACTGGTTGGCTCAGTTTGACACTCTACCTTTACATGTAGTCACCTACTGGATATATGTACTCATATTTAAACATAATATATTCCTGAAAATGTGTTTGAAAGCCAAATATTTATGATGCTGACTAGGAGATAACATGCCATAAACAAAGGGGTTTTTTCTCATGAGAACTAAAAATATTATTGAGTCTCTAATTACACCATACCTTAGACACCATCCTCAGGCATATGTTTCCAGCAATTGTATGGATTTCTTTGATTTTTTTTGTTTTAAAAATGAGCACACAGTTGGGTGGCTTAATACTGACTAAAGATAAGGAGGTGCTACTTTGGGAAAATCTAGTTGATCCTCAGCTTTTTGGGTTGCTTGTTAGACATACATACATGTCTTATCTCTAATATGGTCAAATTCCTTTTCTTGTTTTACATGCATTTGTTTAAGATACATAGAGAAAGGCAGAAGCATTTTAAAATAAGAGCACAGATGTTGCTATGCAGACCTCAACTTTTGTCTAGCAAATAGTGTCCTTTGTGCACTTAGAATTAATTCATTAAGCTTTAAATATGCTGGGTAGAAAGTGTCAGTATACAGTTGTAGCAGTCCAGGCAACCTTTTGCATCCCAAATGTACCACCGTAAGAGTATTGTTTCTACATGTGTACACCCATGTGTGACATTTTTTTTCCTGAAAACCTTATGTAGCCCTCCTGGAGGAAGGCAAATCAATTTGCACTGAGGGCCTGTTAGTTGCCAAGCAACATGTTCAGTGCTGTTTGATTGTCACCCTGAGAGAAGTGGTGAAGGGTATGCCTAGTACTATGGTAATTACCTGTGGGACGCATCCTCTGCGGAATCCTCTCAGTCATGAGTGAACATCATTCTATTGAAAAGACAAGTGGGTGCTACCTATTTGTAAATCTCATATAGAAGATGGGAATTTTAATGATTATTTTTATATTTATTAATTATAATTTTTAATGCACCATAAACATTTGTAAAATACTAGGTCTTTTTCTTCTTCTGAGATTGACATTTTAATGCCCTTACATAGGAAAATGGGCCTCAGTTTTTTCTTTCTTTTTGAAAGATCTTTAACTGATACATATAAATTGTGTATATTTATGAGATACTATGTGATGCTTTGATACATGTGTGTATTACGTAATGTTCAAATAAAGGTAAATATATCTATCTCCTCAATGCTCATTTTCTTTTGGTGAAAATATTCAAAATCTTTCTCCAACCTATTTTCCAAAAATACCTTTTTGGGGCTGGGCATTTAGCTCAGTGGTTCCACCACCTGACTCACAATCCCAAGGTCCTGAGTTTGATCCCTGGTACCACCCCCCCCAAAAAACAACTCAACATTTTTTTTATCTGTAGTCACCCAACTACACAATGGCATCAGTGTTGTTTTTAATGGCCCTTATTCATTTAAATCACCATCACAAGGAAACATACTTTTTTTCTAACCCATATATACTTACAGGTATACACAAACTTACATGCGTACTTATATGCAAATAATGTTAGTCCTAAAGTTATGTCTTATTCTTACTCAGGTAGAATGACTTTTGATGGTGTCTCATGTGTATTTTGAAAATACTCATATTGTTTTCATGTTGATGTTTTGTTGCTTTTAGCTTACGGTCTTTAGATATGAGCAGCAATGATATCGAATATCTGCCAAGTCCTGCAAACTGGAAGTCTCTGAACTTAAGAGAGCTCTTATTTAGCTACAATCAGATCAGCATCTTGGACTTGAGTGAAAAAGCATGCACATGGTCCAGAGTAGAGAAACTGCATCTTTCTCATAATAAACTGAAAGAGGTAAGAAGCCATCTTCATTTATTTAAAGTTATTGCCAGCTGACAAATGTGCTTCATGATTTGCATTATCACAAATTATCACTTTAAAATTTATTATTTGCTATTTTTTCTTTTTGAATAAGATCCAGTCTTACCTTGTGGTAAGTGGTTACAGTAATATTGCTTAATTTCCTAAAGAAAAACTGTGCTATATTTTTGAAAATTTATATGAATACATATGTATATCTAATTATGAATATGTATAAGGATGTAAGTGTGTCATAGTGTCCCTATGTCTCTGATCTATTAAGAGGCTGTCAAAATGCTACATTTCTCAAGTTCACTGAGCCATATGTTTTTCCTCTGACTTTTTTCCCTACATTTTTAAATTTCTGCATTTTTCTGCTAGCCTACCATTACCCAAATAGGTTAGCTTTCTTTGCTTTGAACCATTCCTTTGGTTATAAATCTGAAATTGATTATCCACATATATCAGAACCCAGTTTTTCTTGTCAAGTTTAAGCCTATTTCCCATAGAACCACAAAAACTTAAAAGTCTGATAGTGTGAGGGTTTTTTTTTCCAGTAAATAAATGTTTTTTGTTGTAAAGCTCATCAGATTGCTTAAAATTTGAAATAGAAAAGCAAAACTTGCGAATTATACTGCTACCTGAAGTATAAAAATTTAATTATATCATAAGAATATTAAGTTGCATGTAATTTTGTAATTACTAGATCCTTGTGGTTTACTAAAGAACAAAGGGAAGATGAGAGAACAGAATGAAATCATAGATTGTTGACTTGGATAACTATTAACTGCTTCTTTACTTTCAAAATTGTGAAGAGATAAAGTGTATTAACAAGGGAGATTTGTTTTTATTTTTGAAAGTTATAAATGTGACATAGAATGTTTGGGGTTGGAAGTTCTTTAAATGTATGTCTTTCTGGTTTTAAGCATGTATACTGAAAACATATGGCAGGCCTTTGGAAATCTTTCAAACTCTGTTGAAAGGTTGTGCATTTTGCTCATGGCATCTATCAGCTCTTCTTGTTTTTTTTACTGTCTTGTTTCCTGGTGGTGTACATTTTTTCCCTCCCACCAACAGGTTTTGCCCTTTTTTATTTCATTAAGATTCCTCCTGAGATTGGCTGTCTTGAAAATCTGACCTCTCTTGATGTTAGTTACAACATGGAACTGAGATCCTTTCCCAATGAAATGGGGAAATTAAGCAAAATATGGGATCTTCCTTTGGATGAGCTGCATCTTAACTTTGATTTTAAACACATAGGATGTAAAGCCAAAGACATCATCAGGTCAGATACTTTTATTTCCATTTCTTTTCATTAGATTTGTTTAGTATTGCTTTAGTCTGTGATTTTGATGGATATATGGTTACAACTTAGGGAAAAATGAATAGTCCCATTTAACATTAATACTGTGCCATTTGCCTGTCTTTCAATGAATGGGTTTAATGGTGCTAACACAGGTTTGTAGTTAAGCTAATGTTGAGAGAAAGACGTCTCCTCCATATCATTCTTTTCAGTAGAAGTGGACACTAGATGGCAGAAGGTATTACTACATATGTAGTCTTTGGTTATTAATTACACAATCTAAAGAAGGCTTGTCACACTGCATTTCATATAGCAGTAGGCTTGTCACACTGCATTTCATATAGCAAATAGTTAACATGCTTGTTACAACTTAAAGCATTTTAGTTATTGACCTGATATGTAATTACTAATTTTGATATTGCCTCTGCAGATGAATAACTACTTGCCTTGATCATTTTTGAAAACCTCCAAACTTCCCAGATATCACTGTTTTTGATCTTTACACCTTAATAATATCTTTTATAGTGGATTTTATCCATGCTACTGTCGTCTTTTAGCATATTAGATCTATCATTACATACTCCCCAAATCCTTTACTCCCACAGAGTTACTCTATTTATCTTACAGGCCTCGGCTCATGAACACTTCTCAATACCCTGTAACTTGACTATAATATCCACCCAGGGAACTAGGGCTATGTTTAGTCCTTGACACCTAATACTCCCTGTGATTCCTGTTACATAACACAGAACCTGGCTTACAAGCAATAGTTGATCATTGATGACATTTACCCAGTTGTCTTCTGCTTAAATTCTATTAAATTTATATTTCACTTTTGACTGTTTTATGAAGATTTGATTTTTCTGAACTTCCAAGCTTGACTTAACAAAAATTGCCACCTGTGCCCATGTGACTACCCCTCATCCTACACATTTTTCCCCTCCTGAAATTGGAAAATATGCTCATATTAGAATTGGTTCAATTCCTACTAAATGTTTAATGGAACTAGTTTTCAGTGTACTGTATCATACTATCAAGCCACCATATAACTAAATATTTTTAAATGTGATTAACATTTTGGAAAAATACAGAAGACCTGGAGCAGTTTATAAATTGCATCATTTTCTTTTTAAAGAATGACTTTTTTTTCAAAGAGTAGGGGATTATTAATTAATAAATAAACCAAGAAAAGGAATCATCAAGGATGTTGATCAGATCCCTGTTAATTATTGGAATGGAGCAATTAATATTCCCTAAAATTCATTTATATTTAATTTGCTTCTGTAATTTTAAATTGTGGCAATATTTTAGCATAGTTTCAAATATATCTTTCTATATCCATTGTATTTTGACAACATTTTAAACCTATTATTTTATTTTTTAAAGGTGGCTTTGGTCACTTGCGGCACTTTTAATTACTTTCAATTATTTTTAACATCAAAATTAGTAGGAATAACAAATGTAAACATCCACTGATAGAGTAATAGTTTATATGTTTTCATTTATAATGTAGCCAATAGGATCTCACTAATCATATACATTATATATATGCATACATGGTATGCATACATCATATATATCACACATAGTACTTATTAGTCACATATACCATATATGAATATATATGTACATGCACTGCATAATATAACCAATATGACCTCATTACCAACCTTTAGTATAACAGTATATATGTATATATATACCTGAGTTCAGTATCATACATGTATTGTAAAATTTTATACTTCATAAATTTTTAGAATTTTATTTGTACTACCTAAATCCACACACACACACAAATATATATATATTGGCATTTTGTTTATTGCTGGTGCCAGTGTAACATGTCAGTATATTACATAATACTGCCAAACGTCAACTATTTAATTGTTCATTGAAAGGGATGTATATTGTTAGTTCTCTGAGGTATGCAGTCTTTTGCACACTGACATGTAAAGTGTTCAGTGCCTAAGAATTCACCTAAATCTCAAGTGTCCTAGTAAGCAATTTATTATTTTATTTTTTATCTTTCAAATACCAGGTTTCTTCAACAGCGATTGAAAAAGGCTGTGCCCTATAACCGAATGAAACTTATGATTGTGGGAAATACTGGGAGTGGTAAAACCACATTATTACAGCAGTTAATGAAAACCAAGAAATCTGACATTGGAATGCAGGGTGCCACAGTGGGCATAGATGTCAGAGACTGGCCTATCCAGATAAGAGGCAAAAGGAAGAAGGACCTCATTCTCAATGTGTGGGATTTTGCAGGTACCAGATCTAGGTGTTTATTGCTTCATTTAAAAAATTTAGAACAGGTATTTAAAAACTTTAGTTTTCTGTTTTACAGCAAAGAGCTGGTAGATCCTATTGAATTAGTCCAAAACCATTTCTTCTTCTAATTTTACCAGAGCAGAGAAGTATATGGAAAGAAATGTTAAGAATGAGTAGGAGCCAGCTGAAGTTAAGTATTTGGTTGGTGGGTTATACATGTGCTGAAAGTTGTTAATTCATGGTAAAACCTCCAGAATAGCCCTCTGTGTTTTTTCTCTTTTAAATAAATAATTATTATCTTTCCCATTTAAAACAATGCTTACCTATTGCTGGAAGATTAAAAAGAAAAAGAAGAAAACCTCTCTAATCTTTATTTAGGTCGTGAGGAATTCTACAGTACTCATCCCCATTTCATGACTCAGAGAGCATTATACCTCGCAGTCTACGACCTCAGCAAAGGGCAGGCGGAAGTGGATGCCATGAAGCCCTGGCTCTTCAACATAAAGGTGAGCTGTTCTAATGGTTTGGAAATAGAAAACCACTGTAGGCTTTTTGGTGTGTTTATGAGGTAGTTTGTTTTGAGCAAACAATTGCTCCTGTCTCTTCAAATAATTTTTTTTTTAAGTTAGAAGCACTAAAAGTTTGAGTTGGACAATTTTCAGAGTAAGAAAGTCCTAATGCAAAAGAGTAATATTTTCTATTTTGGTGAACATTATCCATGCTGAAATCCTTTCACACCATAAAAACTAAAAAATATATTCTATTAAATTAATTTTGACCATATTACTTCTTAAATGGGATATAAGCTTTCTTAATTTGAAGTGAACCATACCAGAGAAAAGCAATATGTACTTCACGGGTTATATCCTCACTGGCAATTTAGGATGAAGCCCTTTGGATTGGAGCCTTGAACTTATCTTAGACTCCTGTCTCTTATATGCAGAATCTTTTTGTCATTTGTTTTCACCTTCCCCCTTGCTTTGCCTGCTGTCAGTTATTCCTTCAAACAGTATGGGTTTTCAGAAATGAGACCAAATGGAGAGAGCATACTCACTGGCCAGTGCTCCACTGAGCTCTTACTTGAATAATGTCCTCAGGTTTGTGTCGGGACATTTTGGTGTGCAGTTTGGCTGCCTGCATACTTGTTTTGTAGTCTGAGTAATTCTTTACACTTTTTTTTTAACTTTATTAAATCTTATACACAACAATGTGGGCAAGTATTACAATGGCAGTAATAGTTGATTTAGTAGCTTTTTTTTTCCTTTGTAGATTCCAAATTAATTGACTTTAAAATAAATTCAGATTATATTCACAGATAAGAGAAAATGTAAACTGTATTTATTATGTTACTTTGCTATAATTAGGGGGTTTATTGAATGCCTATTTTATTTAAAGCATATTTATCAAATGAGGAGGAAAAATATAAACTGTATTGCTACTTTGCTATAATTTGGGGCTTTATTGAATATTTATTTTGTTTAGAAGCACGCATAGCAAATAACCCATTTTAAACATGAATAGAAAAAAAAAAAACTATACTATTACTGTGTGTAGGCCACTTGAAAAGTGGTGAGAATTATATAAGGGAGGAGCACTAAATGCCTCTTTTAAATTTCCTAAGATTACCCTTTTTTATGTTTAAGGAAATGTTTTGGTCTATTTTGTGCTACTATATCCAACCTGAGAACGGATCATTGGTAAAGAACAAGACTTATTTCATAGAGTTCTGGAGAGGCTGGCACCTTATGGGCATCTTCTTGCTGCGTCCTTCCATGGAGCTGGTGGAAGGGCAAGAGGACAAGAGGTCACACATGTAAGAGGGAAAGGAAGAGAGCCAAAGGCATCCTTCTATCAGGAACCCACTTCCAAGATGGCGGCATTAATCCCCTCTGGAGGTCCCGCCTCAGCACTGTTGCGTCTGGGAATAAGTTTCTAACACATGGCCTTTGGGGGGTCACAGACAGAGCATGCCAGAAAGGAAAGCCAGTTATTTTTTCGTTCAGGATTCTTGTCGTTTTTCATTTGTGCTTAACTTAACTTCCTATAAAGAAAATTTCAACCAAAATGTAAGCAGATAGAATTTAAAGCAAACATGAGAGTATTTTGTGTCTTCCCCATAGGCTCGCGCTTCTTCCTCCCCGGTGATTCTTGTTGGCACGCATTTGGATGTTTCTGATGAGAAGCAACGGAAGGCCTGCATAAGTAAAATCACCAAGGAGCTCCTGAATAAGCGAGGGTTTCCTTCGATTCGAGATTATCACTTTGTGAATGCCACTGAGGAGTCCGATGCTTTGGCAAAGCTTCGGAAAACCATCATAAATGAGAGTCTTAATTTCAAGGTAATACAATTTATGACTACTGTAGACTGGTAGGTAGATACAATTTATTAATTGTCACATTATGCCACTGCTTAGAAATGTTAGAAGTCTCGAGAGTAACTATCTTAAAATTCTGGGTTTTTCATAAATCTTAGAATTATTAAAGTACTTTCAATTTTAAAATTAACTGATTTATGCCATACCTCATTTGTAATTCCTAGAAAAAAGAATTTTTAAAAATTGTAGAATCCTAAGAGAATGTTTCTAGGACACTGAGAAAATATTCCAGAGAGAGAAAACGCATCTGACACCATTCTGTTCCACCTTCCTGTAGTAGTGATTCAATCAAAAGTGTAAAAGTGAATACTGAGGTCAGGAGATCTTCTTTCTTCTATTGTTTTTTGTCTGTTTCTCTGTCTACTCCTTTCTTTTGGGTTTCTATTTCATGCCCTTCTGAGCACCCCTTCATGTCTCTTTGCCCTATGATTTTCATACCAATTTCTTTCCTCAATATTACGAGACAACTCATTCAGTTGTTAAAACCACTAATTAGGCTTTCAGCAATGTCTAAATAATTACTTGGGTCATACAAAGTAGGCATTTTAATTTTAGGACTTATGTTTTAAATTCCCAGAGTTCTCTTTTGATAAGCCCAATGTTTATAAAACACAAATTCATCAATCATCAGAAAAAACATTTTTAAGTACTTGCGGTGAGCAGTGTTCCCTGGACTCTAACAGAAGCATGGTGTAAACTGCTGCAAGACATGCTAGGTGGTTCAAAATGGCAAATATCATGGTGAATTTCATGTAGTCTCACTTGGCTTGACTCATTAGAACTAATGATTAAGATCATGGTTTAGTAGAGTCCTGTTTAGCCTGGGCAGTTCCAGCATAATTTTTTTTAAGTTTAATTTTATTGGTACATTTTAGTTATACAATATAATGACATTCATCATTGGAAATTTGCACCTTTACATAATCTCTCTTGGTTCTT